ACTAGTGCATTGTACCGATGCATTATATAAATGATGTATAGCTGGGAAGTTTTTTAAAAATCATAAACACAGATAAATCGAAATATGAATGAGTATGAGGAAATGCTGAGGTGTAGCAATCCTGGTACCTACAAAGCACTATTTTTTTTTTCCCTTGGTAGTGGAATCTAATTAAAAAATCTGACTAATCACGTACATGATTATTTAACGTTTCAGTAACTTGTATAAACAAAAGACCTTAAGATATTTTAGTCATTCATTCAATAGGTGTTTAATGAATATCTGTATACAAGGCACTGATGAGTAAAACACAATTTCTGCCTTCAAGTAGCTTGAAGAAATAAAACAAGTAGCTTTATCTCAAGAAGAAATAAGATGGTAAGTTTTCCCTAAATTACAGTTATTTGGAATAATTGCTATAAACAGAATACTATGGTAGTTTAAAGGAGGGGAGATTATTTCCAGCTAGGGGAATGTAGAACATTACAATATACTCTGTTACTTGGTTGTAATACTCTACATTCCCCCAGCTTGTTAATTTTTACCAATTAAGAGCTTCTGCAATAAGAAAAATAAATTCCAAGGATTTTAAATACCCAATATTATATGATAACCGATATTTATGTAATTTTTACTATTTAAAAATATTTTAATCTTTTCAACAACTACTTTTCTGTTCTTTTAATAGACATTTTAATAAACAATCCAAAGAAGTGTCTTGTAACCAATGAAGTTTTGTTTTGTTTTTGTTTTTGGTTTTGGTTTTTTTGAGATGGAGTCTCGCTCTGTCACCCAGGCTAGAGTACAATAGTGCAATCTTGGCTCACTGCAGCCTCTGCCTCTTGGATTCAAGCAATTCTACTGCCTCAGTCTCCTAAGTAGCTGGGATTACAGGTGCCTGCCACCACATCCAGCTAATTTTTTGTATTTTTAGTAGAGATAGTGTTTCACCATGTTGACCAGGCTGGTCTGGAACTCCTGACCTCAAGTGATCCACCCACCTTGGCCTCCCAAAGTGCTGGGTTTACAGGTATGAGCCACCATGCCTAGCCTCAGTGAAATACTTGAATGCTCACTATGAACCTAGAATTTTAATTCATACTCTCCCCTCCCAAAGTTAAACACTTATCATTAACGATGTCAGTTTATTATATTTTATTATTATTTTTTGTTGTTGAGACAGAGTCTCGCTCTGTTGCCCAGGCTGGAGTGCAGTGGCGGGATCTCAGCTCACTGCAAGCTCCACCTCCCAGGTTTACGCCATTCTCCTGCCTCAGCCTCCCAAGTAGCTGGGACTACAGGTGCCCACCACCTCGCCCGGCTAGGTTTTTGTATTTTTTTAGTAGAGACGGGGTTTCACTGTGTTAGCCAGGATGGTCTCGATATCCTGACCTCGTGATCCACCCGTCTCGGCCTTTCAAAGTGCTGGGATTACAGGCTTGAGCCACTGGGCCCGGCCAACGATGTCATTTTATATCAGTTTCCCACCAAGACACCTTTAAATAAGTAGTGGGCGGGGATTTATTTGGCTTTTACTTCAGCCACATAAATTATTTAAAATGTCACTTAAAAAGTAATGTTGATTTTAACAGTTTTTTTTTTGTTTTTTGTTTTTTGTTTTTTGAGACGGAGTCTCGCTGTGTTGCCCAGGCTGGAGTGCAGTGGCGCGATCTCGGCTCACTGCAAGCTCCGCCTCCTGGGTTTACGCCATTCTCCCGCCTCAGCCTCCGGAGTAGCTGGGATTACAGGCGCCCGCCACCATGCCCGGCTAGTTTTTTGTATTTTTAGTAGAGACGGGGTTTCACCATGTTAGCCAGGATGGTCTCGATCTCCTGACCTCGTGATCCACCCGCCTCAGCCTCCCAAAGTGCTGGGATTACAGGCGTGAGCCACCGCGCCCGGCCATTTTTAACAGTTTTTAAGAGGAAAATATACTCTTTCTTAAATACTCCTACAAGGATATATAAGGGTATGAAATATTTGAAATTGCAGCCAGGCGCAGTGGCTCACATCTGTAATCCCAGCACTTTGGGAGGCCGAGGTGGGCGGATCACGAGGTCAGGAGATCGAGACCACGGTGAAACCTCGTCTCTACTAAAAATACAAAAAACTAGCCAGGTATAGCCGGCGTGGTGGTGGGCGCCTGTAGACCCAGCTACTCGGGAGGCTGAGGCAGGAGAATGGCGTGAACACGGGAGGCGGAGCTTGCAGTGAGGCGAGATCACGCCACTGCACTCCAGCCTGGGTGACAGAGCGAGACTAAGTCTCAAAAAAAAAAAAAAATTGAAATTACAGTATGAATTTGAAGTATTTGAAATATGCAAGGATAAAATTGTGAAATACTCATCTGCATATCTTACGTTTTTGAGTAAAACTGAAATAAGGATTATGTATGGGTTAAAGTCAGTTTTCTCTGGCTCTTCATCTTTTGAATAAACAAATAGGTAGTAGATTCAAGCACAGGGAGTTTGCACCATACAGAATAAAATTGAAAGTAATGGTAATACTTTATTTAGTAACCCAAAGTAGAAGCCATGGAACCATCAATGATTCTTTAATTTCTGAGCCATCAGTGATTTTTTAAATTTCTCTTAACCCTAATGTTCAGGCACCAGGTGCTGTCAATTTTATCTTTTAAATAATCTTTCATTCCTTTTATCACTGCCATATATCAGACATACTGTCATCATTGCCCACATTATTATAGTGGTCTCTAAACTGATCACGTTGCTTTCTTTTTTCTGTCTGCTGTGAGTAAAAAAATTTTTTTTTTTTTTTTTTTTTGAGACAGAGTCTTGCTCTGTTGCCCAGGCTGGAGTGCAGTGGCTGATCTCGGCTGACTGCAACCTCCGCCTCGCGGGTTCACACCATTCTGCTGCCTCAGCCTCCTGAGTAGCTGGGACTACAGGCGTCCACCACCACGCCCGGCTAATTTTTTTTATATGTTTAGTAGAGACGGGGTTTCACCGTGTTAGCCAGGATGGTCTCGATCTCCTGACCTCGTGATCTACCCGCCTCGGCCTCCCAAAGTGCTGGGATTACAGGCGTGAGCCACTGTGCCCCGCTTAAAATTTTTACTCTAAAACGTAAATATGATCATGTGATTTGCCTGCATCAAATTATTCATTGATTTCATCACACATAAAATGAAATCCACATTGCCAAGTGTGCTCTGACTTTTAGTTCGCTTTCTAAGAGAGGAAGTGTATTCCACTTACGAACATTGGTGATTCTTAAATAAACCCTCCTCTGTGGACACATTGTTCCCCTTTCCCTAGAATACCTACCTTTTTCCTCTTTATTTCCCCCACTCTTTTGCTTCATTAACCACTCTTTTTCCACTGACACAGTTGGGCATTCCTGACTCTTCCGCTCTTATTTCCACAGAATTTTGTTAGTGCTTTCCTTCCTTCTGCAGTCTAATAATATGTGTTGTTTGCCTTGCTCTTCTGTAAGGTCCTTTAGAGTGACAGTTGTGATGCCACCATGGTATCACTAAATCATTGTTATCAAGAAAGCATCTGAAATAATAGACACCATTTATTGAACGTATATGTAGATATGACACTTGGTAAGAATTTAGCACGTATAACTTCACAACAACCCAATGAGGTAGGTGCTATTATGATTATTCCTATTTTACAAAGGCAGAAACTAAGATATTTTAATTTTAATAACTTTTCCGTGGTCTTACTGTTAGGAAGTAGCTGGGGTAGGATTCCAGAGGCCTCTTCTTCATACTGTTCTGATATGGCCCACTGTGTTACCATTTCTCAGGATTACTTGCATTCTAACAGGAGAAGCCTTAGTCAGCACTAAACTGATTAAGGGACCTCCCTTTTTTTTTTAATGGAAAACATCTTCACACCCCTATTAACTCCCCTACTTGCAAGTACAGTTGAGTGTCTATTTACCTTTTCCCCCACAATTTGGATAATAAAAAACAGTAAAGTTACATATATTTTAAATAACTTTATTGACATATTGACATATAATTTATGTACAACAAACTGCACTTTTAAAGTATGCAATTTGATAATTTTTGACATACGTATACAACCTTGGAATCATCATCACAAGATAATTAACATGTCCATTGTCCCCCCTGCCTTTCCTATCCACCATATATCCCTGTTCTTAGGCAACCAGTGATCTGCTATTGTTCATTGTATGTTACTTTACATATCCTAGAGTTTCATATAAATGGAATCATGCAGTATGTGCTCTTCTGGTCTAACTTCTTTCACTCAGCATAATGATTTTGAGAGTCATCCATGTTATATGTATCAGCAATTCATTCGCAGATGCTTATTTTGAATTTTAGTTATTATAGAAAGTAAATAATTTTTTTTCTCTGTTGTATCTTTAGAAAAGGTTTACATGGGACTGATGACACATTCTTTGAGCCTTAAGTCCCTCCTGGGGCTTGTTTTGATACACTATGTGTAAGTCCTTTAACATTTGAATGGAGATAGAAAAAACTTACATATGCTTCTGCAGGGATTTAAATGCATTTTCATTTTCAGTGAATGGTCTTTTCATTCAGTATTATGAATATGATGTAAAATCAAGCAGTTAAATACATTTAACTCACTTTAGGAGTGTAATATTTTACTTCTGAGTACTATCTTCTTTACCCTTCTTGGGGAATCTTGGGGGAAACCCTTCTGCTAGGTCTCACGTGGGAGGTGGATATCTCTGAAGTGGTTATCTCAGAAGTTCATATTGACGTTAGCTATAGATATTAAGCTATAAAGTGCTAACCAATCAATATGGTTTGAATGACTTGTTTTGACACTACATAGGGACTCAATCTGAATGGGAAAAAAAGGTGCCTCTCCCAGCCAATCTCCAAGATAACATTTCAACCTTGTTATTTAATGTTAGGAGGAAAAAAATCTTTATTTTAGTCTGCTGTTATGAAAAAACAGACGTGTTAAAATCCATTATTAATTGCTATATTAATCTCACTGACCTCCTCCTTTTAAAAAACTTTTCAGGTGCGTATAACCCGTATATAGAGATAATTGAACAACCCAGGCAGAGGGGAATGCGTTTTAGATACAAATGTGAAGGGCGATCAGCGGGCAGCATTCCAGGGGAGCACAGCACAGACAACAACCGAACATACCCTTCTATCCAGGTAATAGACCCTTCTTCTATGTCTATCTCGCTATTAGTTGCTTCATATATTAGCTATAGCAATTATTTTAAAGGGACAGTTTCTTAACAATCATCTCCACAGTTTTGTCTTTTTTTTTTTCCTTTTTTTTTTTCTAAATGGATCTGTTAAAAAGACATCTATTAGATAGATGTCTAAGGACATCTCTTAAATATAATATGGAGTCTTCCCCACTGCAGATAGTTATATGGTGCTGTGTATTAACCTAAGTAGAGCGACTCATAATGTTTAGTCACTCTACTTAGGTTAATACACAGCACCAGGCCGGGCGCGGTGGCTCAAGCCTGTAATCCCAGCACTTTGGGAGGCCGAGACGGGCGAATCACTAGGTCAGGAGATCGAGACCATCCTGGCTAACATGGTGAAACCCCGTCTCTACTAAAAAATACAAAAAACTAGCCAGGTGAGGTGGCGGGCGCCTGTAGTCCCAGCTACTCCGGAGGCTGAGGCAGGAGAATGGTGTAAACCCGGGAGGCGGAGCTTGCAGTGAGCTGAGATCTGGCCACTGCACTCCAGCCTGGATGACAGAGCCAGACTCCGTCTCAAAAAAAAAAAAAAAAAAAAAAAAAATACACAGCACCATATAGCTATCTGCAGTGGGGACAGTTGGCAGCTTTTGGATCATGTTCTTTTTCATGGAACACAAAGATAATAAGGAAAACCCATTCTCTACAGAGGTGAGTGATACTATTCTGTAGATTAAACATAGGTTTGATAACTCAATCATAATTCTTCTTGGCTAGTCTTAGGGCTAGAACATTTTTTTGTCCTTTTTCTTACCTTTGTTGCTTGTCTCTGATTCTCTGGGTCATTGACTGATTTGAAATACCACTTTATAAATGTAGTTTTCTCACATTAGCATAAATTTTTAAAAGCTTTTGACTAAAAATGACTTTGGTAAACATACTAATAGTTATAAGATGTACTAAATTTATTTATTTATTTTTGAGATGGAGTTTCGTGCTTGTCGCCCAGGCTGGAGTGCATTGTCACAATCTTGGCTCACTGCAACCTCCACCTCCTGGGTTCAAGTGATTCTCCTGCCTCAGCCTACCGAGTAGCTGGGATTACAGGTGCCCACCACCACGCCCAGCTGATTTTTGTATTTTTTAGTAGAGGCAAGGTTTCACCATGTTGGCCAGGCTGATCTCGAACTCCTGACCTCAGGTGATCCACCCGTCTCGGCCTCCCAAAGTGTTGGGATTACAGGCATGAGCCACCGCGCCCGGCCAAGATGTACTAAATTTATTTACTTATTATATATTTATTATTATTTTTTTGAGACGGAGTCTCACTCTTTTGCCCAGGCTGTAGTGCAGTGTCACAATCTCTGCTCACTGCAAGTTCCACCTCCCGGGTTCACGCCATTCTCCTGCCTCAGCCTCCCGAGTAGCTGGGACTACAGGTGCCCACCACCACTGGTGCCTGGCTAATTTTTTTGCATTTTTAGTAGAAATGGGGTTTCACCATGTTAGCCAGGATAGGATGGTCTTGATATCCTGACCTCGTGATCCACCCACCTCGGCCTCCCAAAGTGCTGGGATTACAGGTGTGAGCCACCACGCCCGGCCTATTTTTTATTTTTTTGAGACAGAGTTTCTCTCTGTTACCCAGGCTGGAGGGCAATGGCATGATCTTGGCTCACTGCAACCTCTGCCTCCGGGGTTCAAGTGATTCTCCTGTCTCAGCCTTCTGAGTAGCTGGGACTACAGGCGTGTGCCACCACACCCAGCTAATTTTTGTATTTTTAGTAGAGACGGGGTTTCACCGTGTTAGCCAGGATGGTCTCAATCTCCTGACCTCATGATCCGCTCGCCTCGGTCTCCCAAAGTGCTGGGATTACAGGCGTGAGCCACTGCACCCAGCCCAATGTACTACATTTATATTTTCTATTTGTAAACTGTTTTTCATTTGAGTTTCAGTGAAGAGTTTATCCTTTAAATGCCAATTAAAAACTTGAATGGTAAAGTAGATTTTGAAAAGTGTTACTTTTTTTTTATTTGAAAAGTGTTACTTTTATCAACAGATCTTAATTCATTGTTTTATAACTAGATTATTTACAAAGTCTATTCTGTTGATGAACTTAAAGGGAATTGCTAAGTTATAGAATAAATCAGTGACAAAATTATATATTGAATTCCAGATTTCTATTTTTATCACATTTTTGGCAGTAGTATGGATTTGGGTTATCTAAGTCTTTTAAATGTTAAAATGGGTGAGATGCTAATAAAAAGGAACTAAGGAAATACTCTTTGGCCAGGTTTTTGAGTCATTTTTAAAGTTTTCTTCATAATTCATTTTATCCTATGCATCTCTAAAATATTTCTAAGATCTGTATTTTTACTATTCCAGTAGGTCCTAAACGCTTTACAGCTTGAGTTGTGTATTTGCCTACTTATAGTCTTGAGCAATTACCTTTACTTTCATACAGAAAGAAATGTAATACTTCCTGGTTACTTTCAAATTCTAATTCAAAATTATGGATTTTAGTTTCCTCTACCTCGTAAGCTACCCATTCTTACTTTACCTTGCTCCTTTGTGGTATGCTGGTTTTTGTATTCCCCGCTTTGTTCTTGCAAATTTACTAGCTTTCAAACTAAGCATTATTTCCTGTCCTCATTCCTCTTCCATGTTAAACTCTCCTTTTTACTCTGTGTTCTAAGGTGTACTTTCTTTTTTTTTTTTTTTTTTTTTTTTTTTGAGACGGAGTCTGGCTCTGTCGCCCAGGCTGGAGTGCAGTGGCCAGATCTCAGCTCACTGCAAGCTCCGCCTCCCGGGTTTACGCCATTCTCCTGCCTCAGCCTCCGGAGTAGCTGGGACTACAGGCGCCCGCCACCTCGCCCGGCTAGTTTTTTGTATTTTTAGTAGAGACGGGGTTTCACCGTGTTCGCCAGGATGGTCTCGATCTCCTGACCTCGTGATCCGCCCGTCTCGGCCTCCCAAAGTGCTGGGATTACAGGCTTGAGCCACCGCGCCCGGCCCTAAGATGTACTTTCTATGTGAAATTTGATGTTGTTAAACTCAATTTGATTTATTGCCTATTCTAGAGTGCACTTGGGGTATGCTTACTGAAAACATATTTTTGTGAAGTGAAATGTCACATATTAAGTAAAATGATCATATTTATGTGCTATCCTTTCCAGTATGGCTTAAATATATATTCAAGGAATGTTTATGGTATGACAGTACATTTAAGAGCTGGGCATTTAGTGACTTAACATCTGTTTTCTCATGTTCTATGATAAAATTTGGGTACAGTTTTACTTGTTTTGAAAGGAAAATTAAGCAGAGTCAAATGATATGACCAAATGAAATTAGGGCAGAAAATATGTCAAGAAGCTGAGTGGTAAGTTCTTCTATACTGGTATTCTCTGGAAAGTTTCATCTAAAGTGCAGATGTTTGTCAGTTGGACTTTATTTATTTAGTGCCAATTACATTATAATTAATGTAAATTGAACTCTCATTTAGTAGATCAGTTTCTAATGCGATCTATTTGGATCATATATTTAATTTCCCCCTTTTTTCAGATTATGAACTATTATGGAAAAGGAAAAGTGAGAATTACATTAGTAACAAAGAATGACCCATATAAACCTCATCCTCATGATTTAGTTGGAAAAGACTGCAGAGACGGCTACTATGAAGCGGAATTTGGACAAGAACGCAGACCTTTGTTGTAAGTACACAGTTACAGACATCTTCAGAAATAAGATAAGACATAGGATGTTCTGTTTCTTCTCCATGACAATCTGTTACTTTTTAGCAGAATAATTTTCTCATTCTACTTCTATTTACTATATTTTACACTTATATTTTTACTATTTGCATTAGAACTACCCTTTCATTCTTCATTAGTAGACACATCTTATGATGGTTAGCAGGAAGACATTTTTATTGTTATTAAAAGTAAACGTAAACTTATTGTATACTGTGATTTCCTTTCTTGGGGTGGACAGTTTTTGAAATAATTTTTCACTCTTTTTTTTTTTTTCAAGACGGAGTTTTGCTCTTGTTGCCTAGGCTAGAGTGCAGTGGCACAATCTTGGCTCACTGCAACCTCCACCTCCTGGGTTCAAGCGATTCTCCTGCCTCAACCTCCCGAGTAGCTGGGATTACAGGCATGCGCCACCACGCCTGGCTAATTTTTTTTGTATTTTTATTAGAGATGGGGTTTCTCCATGTTGTTCAGGCTGGTCTCGAACTCCCAACCTCAGATGATCTGCCTGCCTCTGCCTCCCAAAGTGTTGGGATTACAGACGTGGGCCACCGCGCCCGGCCTCTGTCTTTTCATTTATAGTTAACTTATTATTATTTTGAGACAGGGTCTCCCTCTGTTACCCAGGCTGAAGTGTAGTGGCATGATCTCGGCCCATTGCATCCTTCACCTCCAGACTCAAGCCATCTTCAGCCTCAGCCTCCTGAGTAGCTGGGACTATAGGCATGCACCACCATGCCCGGCTAATTTTTGTATTTTTTGTAGAGATTGGGTTTTGCTGTGTTGCCCAGGGTGGTCTTGAACTCCTGGACTCAAGCAGTCTTCCCACTTTGGCCTCCCAAAGTGCTTGGGATTACAGATGTGAGCCATTGTGCCACGCCCATTTACAGTTAACATAAAAATGCCTGGATGTGAGAAAAATCAACTGGAAAACTCTAGAGTTATTATTTAGAAAATGGCAGGTTATAGAATTAACATATAACAATAGTTCTAAGAGAAAAATAATCATGTAATATTTCATGATAGTGAGGCTACCAGAAGATGGGCCCATTCATCATGTTAGAATGTAAATTAATAAAGTCGTCTGGTAGGCAATTTAACTGCATAACAAAAGCCCGAAAAATATGAATGCCTCTTGAGCCAGCCATTCCACTTCTAGGAGTTTAGCCTCAGAAAATAATTACGTGTACTCAGACATTATGCTCTAATGCTGTTCATTGCAGTTCTCTTTTTAATGGCAAAAAGCTAGAAGCAATTCAAATAGTAAGCAAAGGGGATTAATTAAATAAACTGATACATTCATGCAATGTACTCCTGTACAGCCTTAAAAATCATATTGCCAATATGTCTATTGGTATGTAAAGATAGTCACAATATATTAGATAAATAGGTTTTCTGTTTTTTGGTTTTTTTGTTTTTGTGTTTGAGACAGAGTCTTGCTTTGTTGCCCAGGCTGCAGTGCAGTGGTGTGATTTTGGCTCACTGCAGCCTCCACCTCCCTGGTTCAAGCGATTCTCCTGCCTGAGCCTCCTATGTTAGCTGGTATTACAGGCATGTGCCACCACGCCCAGCTAATTTTTTGGTATTTTTATTAGAGACAGGGTTTCACCATGTTGACTGGGCTGGTCTCGAATTCCTGACCTCAGGTGATCCACCTGCCTCAGCCTCCCAAAGTACTGGGATTACAAGCATGAGCCACGTTGCCTGGCCAGATAAATAGGTTTTAAAACGATATGTAAAGAATAATCCTATTTTCGTTTAAGATAAATTTATACATATATATGATGTATATATGTTAATACTAAGGTATTAGTAGTTGTCTGGCTGGGTAAGATTGTAGGGTTTTGTGTTTTTCTTTTAACTTATATTTTATAATTCATTTTTGTAATGAACATGTGTTGGCTTTTGGGGAAAAATGAACTAATTACAACAGAAAAGAGGTTCATAGTCTCTACATATATTAGTAATAACCATTTAGAAAAAAATGCTTTAAATGCTCCTCTAACAATAACACAAAATGTCTAGTATTATACACACTTGGCAAATATATGTCTATATTACTTGACCTTCCAACAACATTTTACACTGTGATCACTCTTTACCTGAAATATTTTTATTCCTTATTTTCTGTGAAAACAAACTTCCGTTTTACTTCCTGCTTTTCTGGCTGTTCTTTCTTAGTTACAGGCAGTTAAATTTTTGGATCATCTTACTTACTGTCCTAATAATGCTCTTTATGGCTGTTCCATCTCTCTCCCCAATTCAGGATCCCATTAAGGATTACACACTATAGGTAGCATTATATTTAACATGAATAACATGAATAATATTTTCATGTTAACATGAAACATTTTGAGCAAGAAATCTATAGAAGTGATGCAGTATAATTCTCAAAATATTCCTTCAGTTTTTTACATTATTAGCTATATTATCTTGGCATTCTATTATAAAGAACTTTCCCTTCCTCTCTTTCTCCATTTAAAAAGTATCACTGTAAACTCATGCATTCTTGTATTTAATGTATTATAGTTATTGTTATTCTTTTGATTTTCAAATTGACCCAGATTTGATTAATGCAAGCCTCTTCAAACTGTCTCCTGTGTTTTTTTGATATGTCTTCATCTTTCTTTGAGCACTTTTTTACTTTCTGACAAAACAAAATGTTCAAGACTTGTGCTTTTCTTTTTTGAGACAGAGCCTCGCTCTGTTGCCCAGGCTGGAGTGCAGTGGTGCGATCTCGCCTCACTGCAACCTCCCCCTTCCGAGTTCATGTGATTTTTGTGCCTTGGCCTCCCAAGTAGCTGGGATTACCAGCCTGCACCACCATATTCAGGTAATTTTTGTATTTTTAGTAGATACAGGGTTTCATCACGTTGGCCAGGCTTGTCTCAAACTCCTGACCTCAATGATCCTCCTGCCTCAGCCTCCCAAAATGCTGGGATTACAGGCATGAGCCACCATGCCTGGCCATCTTGTGCTTTGTTTGCCCAGCCATGAAGCTATCAGCTTTTTCCAGAGATTCTTGGTTCCTTTTGGTGGGGAATGGTATTTAGTCTGATTGCCTTCTCAACATATTCCCTTAAATGTCTCAAAAGTACCTTAAGTAGCCAGGCACAGTGCCCAATGCTTGTAGTTACAGCTACTCAGGAGGCTGAAGCAGGAGGATTGCTTGAGCCCAGGAGTTTGAGTCCAGCCTGGGCAACATAGCGAGATCTTATCTCTTAAAAAAAAAAAAAAAAAAAAAAAAAAAAAAAAGCACTTCAAATAGAATATGCCCCAAACCATGATTTTACTGTGATCATCTCTCTTTCCCCTCATAATTGGTCTTGTTCCAATGTGCCATGTGTTAGTGATTGCTATGAAAGGCCTATAGGTGTCATCTCTGGCATTCCTCATCCAGGTGTACACGTTGAATCTACTAACAATTACTTTCTCAAGCGGTTCTGAATCTATCCACTTCACTCAGTGAAATCATCACCGTCATACTACCACTATAGTCTAAACCGGGGCTGCTGGAATAACCTGACTGGTCTTGCATCAACCATTTTGTACCTTTTCCAAACCTTCTATCTTTCCTCACTTTAGCCAGAGTGATCTTATGGAATTCCACATACAAATGGAATTGTCTCTCCCTTGCTTAAAACATTTTAATGGGTTTGTTTGGCTCTTGGAATAAAGACAGCATTTCTTCTATATCCTGTAAGGCCCACATGACCCACCTGTATTTCTAGCCTTCTATTAAACTCTACTTTCCTTAATTTTTACACTCCACTCACAAAGCCTTCCTTTAGTTTCCTGTTTCCTCCTCCAGTGCTCTTCTATAGGGGTCTTTGTGTGACCTGTTCCTTTTGCCTGGAAGTCTCTTCTGTTCCATCATAGGCTCCCATAACATCATGTATACTTCCTTCATAAAACTTGTTATGATTGCAGTTTAGCATTTATGTATGCGTGATTATTTAATGTATATCTGCTTCACTAGACCAGAGACTACCAGACTTTTTCTGTAAAGTACTAGATAGTAAATATTTGGGGTTTTGCAAGCTGTATGGTCTCTGTTGCTCAGCTGTGCTGTTGTAGCATGAAAGCGGCCATAGATAATATTTAACATCAGTTTGGCTGTGTTCCAATAAAACTTTATGTGCAAAGACAGACAAGATGCTGGATTTGGTCGATGAGTTAGTTTGCCAACCTTTCCACTAGACTGTAAGCTTCTTGAGGAAAGGGATTGTATATCCCCATTACTTTGCAGAGTTTTTGGTATATAGTACGAACCCCAAAACTTGTTGAATGTCTGTGAATGAATGAATGAAAAATTGATTCAAACAATCTCTTGATCCTTCATTTCACAATTTCAAAAACTACCACCACCTCTAATATTCTGTGACTAGCAGTCAAATATGAGATTATCCAGATGAAACAAAATGAAGTAATATAAATATATTAATATGAAGAATTCTATAAAATCTTTTGCCAAAGAAAAAGAATCAAACCAAGAATCTTTCAAAGAAGTGGAATACTTTTGAGGAAGAGGATTATAGTTCCTAGATTTCAAGAAAGGATTAAGAATTCAAGCTTTAGCCGACCAAGCATAGTGGCCCATCCCTATAATCTTAGCACTTTGGGAGGCTGAGGCAGGCAGATTGCTTGAGTCCAGGAGCTTGAGACCAGCCTGGGCAACATGGTGAAACCCTTACTCTAGAAAAATACAAAAATTGGCTGGGTAGAGTGTCATGTACCTGTAGTCCAGCTACTCAGGAGACAGAGGTGGGAGGATCACCTGAGCCTGGGAGGTGGAGGTTGCAGTGAGCTGTTATGGTGCCACTGCACTCCAGCCTGGGTGGCCGAGTGAGATCATCTCAAAAAAAATTTTTTTTTTAAGATTTATTTTTGTAGTTATTGGAGGCAGAGGAAGGAAATGTGAGATATTTTAGGTGCTAGCAAAATTGTAAGTGTGTTGAATGTGAAGAGCATGAACATAAGACAGCATGAGCATGGAGACAGGCAGACAAAGTAGCCTCTAGTTGCAAGTGTCATGTGAAGTTTGAACAATAGTAATGTTATTATAATTGAGTTTTGCTTCCTTATTCACACCCACCCAATTTTACTGATGTCATGGTTTTTCCATGTGGGAACAAGTATGACTGATGGTGGTGGGGGAGTTCCCCCTACCATCATCTGTGCTACACATATGCAAATTAGTAATATTTGTAGCTATTGGGAAGTTTTTCATAAATGACATTTTGAAACTTGTTAAATATTATTGTTAGCATTAAAATTCTTTCTAATAAAAAAATTTTAGTAATTTTTTGTGATGAGTGGCTATAACTTTATATGGCACAAAACATATTCTACTGCTAGTAACAGTGAATTCAGGGCTCAAAAGGCAAATCTCCGTGGAGCTAGGCAAACAGCATAAATGAGTGGTGTGGGTAAAGTGTAGGAGGACTAACAGGCACTGTAGCAAACTGAAGAGCCCTGCATAAATGGGGTTCAGTCCCTAGCCTGTTGTTTCTGTGCCAACCTAGTATTGCAAGGTCTTTAACATGTACAAGAGAAGCCAGAAATCCAGATATTCATATGCAATTACCTGATTTCTAAATGTAGATAATCTGTGCAGATTTTTAAAAATATAGGCAACACTTTTGTGGGCCTAGCAAAACATAGGTGTGAACTCCAACCTGTGAACATCTTTTTACAGCTTTTGCTTTGCGTTATCAAACATACAGACTCTATTGATTTGATGCCGAATTTGGGAGGTAAATTTTACCATTTGGTATTGCTTTACTGTTAATCTATATTTTGGTATGTTTGACATAGGCATATTAGTAAGATGTAATTGTAAAACACTGTATGTTAAAATGATATAGTATATATCATTTTAACAGTTCTTAGAAGTACAACCCCACTTCTTTTTTTTTTTTTTTTTTGAGACGGAGTTTTGCTCTTGCTGCCCAGGCTGGAGCGCAATGGCGTGATCTCAGCTCACTGCAACCTCTGCCTCCCGGGCTCAAGCGATTCTCCTGCCTCAGCCTCCCAAGTAGCTGAGATTACAAGCATGTGCCACTATGGCCGGCTAATTTTGTATTTTTAGTAGAGACGGGGTTTCTCCATGTTGGTCAGGCTGGTCTCGAACTCCTGACCTCAGGTGATCCACCCGCCTTGGCCTCCCAAAGTGCTGGGATTACAGGCATGCCACGCACCCAGCCATATAAACCTACTTCTTACTCTCTGATCTTTATTAAGGGCAATTGGAAGCACATTCATGCTTTGGTATGTCCAGCTGACAGCATGATAACTTCAGTATTGGTATGTTTGCTTTTTGCAGTATTCCATGTGTTTATAATGCAGTTTTGAATATTGTTTTTTTCCTCCTAGTTTCCAAAATCTGGGTATTCGATGTGTGAAGAAAAAAGAAGTAAAAGAAGCTATTATTTCAAGAATAAAGGCAGGAATCAATCCATTCAATGGTAAGTATGTTTGATAAAATCATTTCTCTTTATTTGGGTGTTGATTTCTATTTATTTTTTCTTCCCCCCGCCTTTTTTTTTTTTTTTTTTTTTAGACGGAATTTTGCTCTTGTCACCAGGCTGGAGCGCAATGGCACGATCTCAGCTCACTGCAACCTCCATCTCCCAGGTTCAAGCGATTCTCCTGCCTCAGCCTCCGAAGTAGCTGGGATTACAGGCGCCCACCATCACACCCAGCTAATTTTTGTATTTTAAGTAGAGATGGGGTTTCACCATGTTAGCCAGGCTGGTATCGAACACCTGACATCAGGTGATCTATCCGCTTCAGCATCCCAAAGTGCTGGGATTACAGGCCTGAGCCATCGTGCCCAGCTATTTATATCTTGAACCTGTGTTTTAAGTTCTGTGTTTACTTTTCTACTTGTTGACTTATACCTGTATCTGAGGAATGAAGTATACTATTTAAAATAGTTTCTTCACAGTTGTTGAAAAAAAATCTTATGCACACAGAGGTTTTCGGTATTGTTGGAGAGTGTCACTGTTTTATATAATAAAACTTCAAAATGTTGTGATCCTTTCTGAATGTGGCCTTCCTTATGCCACTTCCAGCCGACAACATACTCTCCCCCTTTTGAATGTTAAATAGGCACTGTGTTTATAAGGTATTGGAGTGCATTTAGCTCAAGGGTATATTCGCCAGTAAGATTTAATCCCAATGTGGAAGAAGAAGCATAGAGATAATAGATATCACACAAAGTATTTTCATAGCATATTTGTGTATATGTTTATCTACTGTTTAGTGAATTTTATTGAGGATAGCATTTATTAAGTATTTATACTTATAGTACTATCTGCCTTGTGCTATAGGTATAAATACTTCCTGTTACTGGTAAGCTGTCTGTATTGTTTGAGTAGGTAAGTACTACCACAGTAGATGCTGGCATCCTATACTTAGAGTAGCCTCCATTCTGAAGTCTTCTGCAGCTACTTAAATATGCAGAAGTCAGGAATTAATTGACTATAATATTTTCAAAGAATATATTTCTTGGTCATATTTAAGACATCCTTATACTGGTGGTTTGTATTTTTCCTGGATGTATAAAAATAATTTAAGAGCTATGTTGATAATTTAAGGAATATATTCACAGATAATTACTGTTTTATGAGCCATAAGATCTGCATCTCTTTTCTCTAGGTTTTATTTTTCATACTATTTAGTATAAAGCTGAAAGTAAAAGTCCCCTTCTTCACTTCCAGCCTTAGCAGGGGAGACTGCTATTAAGTTTGACATATATTTTTCTAGAATTTTCTTTATACATATTTAGTTATATGTAGAAATATATATTTTATATAAAAGGAATCATGCTGTATATCCTATTCTACTCTTTCATTTTTTTCCACTCAGGAATATACCTTAAACTTTCCGCGTCAGTACTTACAAATCTTTTTATTTTTTTTTAACAGAGTATTTTATTGTTTGGGTAGAACATAATTTGTTTATTTAGTCATCTTTTTTTTTTTTTTCTTTTGAGGTAGTCTTGTTCTGTCACCCAGGATGGAGTGCAGTGATGTGATCACAGATCACTGCAGCGTTGACATCCTGGGCTCAAGCAATCATCCCACCTCAGCCTCCTGGGTAGTTGGCACACCACCATGCCCAGCTAGTTTTTGTATTTTTTGTAGAGACAGGGTCTCGCCATGTTTCCCAGGCCGGTCTCAGAACTTCTGAGCTCAGCAATCCACTTGCCTCGGCCTCCTGAAGTGCTGGGATTACAGGCATGAGCCTCTGCACCCGGTCTATTTAGCCTTCTATTAATGAACATTTATGTTGTTTTCATTTTGTTTTAAAAGCTCCACTGAACATACACTTTGAGCTCTTGTGTGATTATTTCCCTAGGATAAATTTTTGGAAATGGAAAATTTCTGGGTCAAGAGTATGCTCATTTAAAATTGTGAATCATTGCCAAATTAATAGGCCAGACTTTTAAATTAAAGAGGCAGATAAGTCTAGATGCAACATAAAACAAGGAAATTATAAGTGATAGCTGTCATTTATTAAGCACTTCTTGTATGTCAGGGAGTAAACATTAGTGCTTTATGTACACTATTTTATTTAATCGTTGGAACAATTCTGCTTTATGGAAGAGAATACCAAGGCTTTTGTTATTTAACTGTCCCAAATCATGCTGCAAATATAAGTGGCAGACCTGGGATTCATATACAGGTTCCTTGACTCCAGTGATAAAAGGTTAAAAAGGAAGATGTTGTCTGTGGAGTTTCTTTTTCTTAGTTTTGGCAGTTCAGAATCAGTCATGTTTTTTGAGATGCCTGGGCTGGAGTGCAGTGATGTGATCACAGCTCACTGCAGCATTGATCTCCCAGGCTCAGGTGATTCTCCCACCTCAGCCTCCCAAGTAGCTGGGACTACAGGTGTGCATCACCATGCCCAGCTAATTTTTTTTTTTTTTTTTTTGAGACAGAGTCTCACCCTGTCACCCAGGCTGGAGTGCAGTATCACAGTCTCGGCTCGCTGCAACCCCCACCTCCTGGATTCAAGCAATTCTTGTGCCTCAGCCTCTCGAGTAGCTAGAATTATAGACGTGTACTATGCCTGGCTAATTTTTGTATTTTTAGTAGACACAGGGTTTCACCATGTCGGCCAGCCTGGTCTTGAACTCCCGACCTCAAGTGATCCTCCTGCCTCGGCCTCCCAAAGTGTTGGGATTACAGGTGTTACCCACCATGCCCAGCAAGAGTTTTTGTATTTTTTGTAGAGATGGGTTTTGCCATATTCCCCAGGCTGGTTTCAGACTCCTGGGCTCCAGTGATCCACCTGTCTCTGCCTTGCAAAGTGCTGGGATTACAGGTGTGAGCCACTGAGCCCGACTCAGGCATGATAATTAATAGTGAATACTCATAATGGCACTTAAAATAGTTCTTGGTAGATAGTAAGTGCTTTATTTTATTTCATTTAATGCTTATAACAACCTACGAAATAGGTACTATTTTTAACTCAATTTTATAAATAAGAAAATGGAAGCATAGAAAAGTTAACTCAGGCCTGTAATCCCAGCACTTTGGGAGGCCAAGGAGGGTGGATCACGAGATCAGGAGTTCGAGACCAGCCTGACCAACGTGGTGAAACCTCATCTCTACTAAAAATACAAAAAATTAGCTGGACGTGGTGGCATGCGCCTGTAGTCCCAGCTACTTGGGAGGCTGAGGCAGGAGAATTGCTTGAACCCAGGAGGTGAAGGTTGCAGTGAGCCGAGATTGTGCCACTGCACTCCAGCCTGGGCGACAGAACGAGACTCTGTCTCAATTAAAAAAAAAAAAAAAAATTAGCCGGGCGTGGTGGTGCACATCTGTAATCCCAGCTACTCAGGAGGCTGAGGCAGAAGAATTGCTTGAACCCAGGAGGCGGAGGTTGTGGTGAGCTGAGATCGCGCCATTGAACTCTAACCTGGGCAACAAGAGTGAAAGTCCGTCTCAAAAAAAAAAAATTGATTATTAAAAAAATAAAATAAGTAGGCCAGGCACGGTGGCTTACGCCTATAATCCCAGCACTTTGGGAGACCAAGGTGGAGAGGATTGCTTGAGCCCAGGAGTTTGAGACCAGCCTAGGCAATATGGTGAAACCCCATCTCTACAAAAGAAATGTTTTAATTAACCAGATGCAGTGGCACGCAGCTGTGGTCTTAGCTACTCAGGAGGCTGAGGTAGGAAAACTGCTTCAGCCTGGGAGGGCAAGCCTGCAGTGAACAGTGTTCTCACTATTGCACTTCAGCCTGGGTGACAGAACGAGACCCCATCTCTAAGCAAAGAAAAGGAAAGTAATTTGTTCAAAGTTATGTAGCTGATGAGTGGTAGCGCTAGGATTTGAACACAGGGAGCCTGGCTCTAAGGTCATGCTTTTAACAGCTCTGCCATGCTGCCTGGATGAATATTGATTTGGGGAAGGAACAATTCTGCCAGTTAATCCTTCCCACTATTTATGTTTTCTGTTGTTGTTTACTTGTTTTTAAAACATTCATTCCTTCCCAAGCACTTCAGTGGTTCTCAATTTGAATGTGCATAGGAATATCTTAGTACTTGTTAAAAATGTAGATTTCAGGCCTTACTTCCACTAATTAGATAGGGCTGGTATGGGTCCTGGGAATCTGCATTTTAAAAAACATTTTTAAAATAATAACTTATCTGAGTCACATGGCACCAAAGTGTGTTAGCAGCTAGAAGTATCTGTTCAGGTCTGCAGCAGCCCCAATTCTTGCCTCCTCAGGAGACAGAAGGAGAGACTGAGACAAGCTTTAGAGCAGGAGTGAAAGTTTATTAAAAAGCTTTAGAGCAGGAAAGGAAGAAAAGTACACTTGGAAGAGGGCCAAGCAGGTGACTTGAAAGACAGGTGTGCTGGGAATCTGCATTTTAACAAACATCTAGATCAGTATTTCTTAACTCTTTGACTGTGACCCACAGTAAGAAATAGATTTTATTTTTCAGCTCAATATATATACATACACCACACCCTTAGGACAACGATACCCTGTGTATTAGTCCGTTTTCACTCTGCTGATAAAGACATACCTGAGAATGGGAAGAAAAAGAAGTTTAATTGGACTTACAGTTTCCACATGGCTGGGGAGGCCTCAGTATCATGGCAGGAGGTGAAAGGCACTTCTTACATGGCGGCAGCAAGAGAAAATGAGGAAAATGCAAAAGCAGAAACCCCTGATAAAACCATCATATCTTGTGAGACTTATTCACTACCACGAGAGCAGTATGGGGGAACCACCCTGATGATTCAGATTATCTCCCACTGGGTCCCTCCCACAACGCATGAGAGTTATGGGAGTACAATTCAAGATGAGATTTGGGTGGAGACACAGAGCCAAACCATATCACCCTACTACATGCAGTGTTCTCTATTCTATTCTGTACCTTTCCTTTCCCTTCTTTTTCTTTCCCTCTTGCTTTGTTAGTGCTTACCCAGCCCACTAAATTAA